ATGTGCAACTCGAGTGCAAAGTGCAATTGCCTCACTCGAGAAACCATTCCTCACTCTTGAGTAGTATTTCTCTCGAGTGAGTCAAATGCCTCCCTTTGCTCACTAGTTGCACAAATAACTATTATCAAGTAACTCTTACAATTATTTCTTATTGAACTGTTATTTATATCTATTGTACGGCATGGTGTCTGCCTTTTTCACCACTTTTGGATATATTTTTATCATATTATTCTAGACAGATCATCATAGGTTCATGAGATTATTATCATCCATGTTTTCAATCATTGGAAAAATCTTCGATTGTGTAATAAAATACAAAATAATACAAGTGCAGAAGTGTCTTATTCGCTTCAACAGTAACCCCACAACCAATTTTTCTCAAAGCTATGCTAAATGGTTATTCATTGGCACGGAAGTACGATATGAACAGACGCGAAGTGACGAAGGAAAAATCTAACTTAAACTATAACGGATGGACCTCCCTTTGAAGTTAGAACATGTCTTCTCAACAAACAGATATCTTTTCTCAAATAAAATCCTAGATCAATCTTTAATACACTGATGAAATCGCGGAAGTTTTTAACTAAAAAAGATCCACCAATACGATTTTAATACTATTTAAAGGTTCTTCCAAAAGAAGAGATACCAGTTAACATACTAATAATAACACCGATGACGTACAGTATGGGAAATATTTTATTTATTTAATGATCAACCATATTTGGTAACTAACGCAATTAATGTCATTTTTGTTTTTAAACTTATTACTCTTTAAACAACGCTAAATGCTAAAAATATGTATAATTTCACTCAATTTATCGCAGTTAGATGAATTAGCGTAAGTCTTGAAAGTAACCGTCGATTTCGACGGGTTTCACCTGGTAAAATAAAATACCCTTGTCGCAAAATTGCAGAGCACGAGCATAGGCTCATAATAGTCTATGAAATCAGTTATTTTTTATAAACCCTTTCCAAAAGTGGAGATTTAACTATGAGAAGAACACATTGACCTAAAGTGGGTATATTTTAGGGGTTGGAGCATTTTAGTTATGACTGGAAGTGCAAATACACAACAAGTAAAAGTACAAACTGACCTCTGGAAAAGAGAAGCCACGAACTTGGAAGTACCTATATATCCAAGGTAAAACACTCACAAGTCGAAGTGGCTCTTGACTTTCAAATTTTGAGCTTATGAACTTTCCTGAAGTATATTGCTGCCGTAAGAAAATGAAGAATAACATCGCAGACCCAAAAGTGAAACGTAACAGAATCTTTGATACCAGGAAAATACATCGATGTAGTTGATTATACCCGGCTGAAAATAGCTACTGTCTTCGCAGGGTTCATCAATATCGATTACACTTGAATGCTTTGTTGGCAACACTGTGGATAAAATTATTTTGTTCAACCAGTCTTCTTTGTGTTGATATACTGCCAGATGAGTAAATATATTGGGCATTAATGTTTGTATAGTATGCAGTATATATTTATAGAAAATATATATGCCTACAATGTATTACACCTGTATTTATAACATTAATAACTTGTACATTCATTTCATAAAGTAGCAAAACTCTAATTCTAATACTATTGAATTGAAGTACAACACAGATAGTGCCCAATATTAACCACTACTAGGCATTATATGGGGAACGAGTCTAGTAATTAGGGCGCGGGACTTTGGTCCCGGGTTAAAATCACGCCAAAATCGCCAATGGGATTTATCTAAGTGACATGTCGCAACCCCTAGGTCTACCCTGAAGTAATGTGCAAAACAATCCCGGGTTCGTGCCTAGCGTGCTAGGACAACAAACAAAAACTAGGCATTATGTAAATGCCAAGGCATTCTAAAGAATCTTCAAAGGTGTGTCAAGTAAACTATAAAATAAACTAGCTGTAACCCGCGGGCTTTGCCCCGTTTTCGCTACGCTCACTCACCTTTAGGTTGGAGCTCGTTCGCTGCGCTCACTTGCCTTCAGGTTAGCTCGTTCGCTACGCAAACTCGCCTCCAGGTTGAAGTTCGTTCGCTACGCTCACTAACCTTTTGGTTGCAAATTAGCTGTTGTCATAAATGTAAAAGAAATAATAGTGCTGCACCCTGTTGGTAATCCTTGTAACTTTAATGCTATTGAACATCATAGAACAGAACCAACTTGTTTAATTTTGAAACAGCTGTTAAGATTCAATAATTCCATTTCTCATAAGGTTAACATGGGAACTCCAGAGCCACTGGGGCGGAGCCCGAAAGGATTTTTGAAATAAGAATATGCCTATATGTTAATCGGGAATGTGAGCTATCATCATGCCAAATTTCAGCCCAATCCGACCAGTATTTTTCGAGTTTACTTTTCCCATACACACATACAGCAACCACCTCTTTTTTATAATAGTATAGATAGATATATGTGTTCAGGAAAAAAATACTTATTACTTTAGACTATAGAAATCGTTCGTGTAAGGTACCTGATTCATTTTAGACAATGTATAGAGTGCATGATTACATACATTTGCTTAAATAATAATTGTGTGTGATAAATAAAAAATAAAAAGATTATTAACAAAATAAGGATATGGCAGACGACGACACATAAGTTAATTTTAATCAGTATAGAAAATATTCGAATACGATTTTGATAATTTACAATTGTAAATCAAGGTGGTTTTAAGCCTTAAATTTAATTGGATTATGATGTTTTAAACGATACGAGAACTTTTATATAATAATACAGCTTTTTAAATAATTCCAATAATCTGGCAAAGATTTATATCTGAGTTAACACGATCAACTAATAAAACAAAGACTTGTTCAAATATCCATATTATAAAGTCCAAAGTACCCACGAATCTTTGAGAAAACTACAAGTCAAACCCCCATAGAACCCTTGCGCAAAACTATCCATTATTTCATAAATTGCCATTTAAGGTTGTAATTTCTTTCTAAAGGGAACTTTCCATATACCTAATGTTAAAAATACCTCAGCTGTACTTATTTGTTAGTCATTCTTTCAATTTATTACCTTATTCAAATCAGGTATGATTATTTTTTTGTATTACTGTATGTTGTTTTGTTTATTTCAGCTTAACTTAACTAATTAAGTTTTATTAATACTTATAAAGCAAAACGGGGTGATCCCGTGGGTTACAGCTAGTTTGCCTAACAAACAATCGGCTGTTTTGGTACAAATGATGTTTCTATTCCATTAAATCGACAAAATGGGGTATTTGTAAAGTATTGAGATTGTTTTAGCTAAAACTTTAATAAGGCACGGGATATATGATTTTCCAATAGGTAGCAAATGGAAGTGGGTACAGTTGAATTCCCGAAAAACATGTGCTAAATAGATTTGTTGGTTTGGATAAAATTGAATACTAACCGTATTTAATTAAATACCCCCGCCGCAGCAAACCTGCCGTCTAAGCGAATTTCCATTTGGCCGAATTGATTTTCAATTGATCTATTTAAATAACATTAGGTTTAACGAGTACCTAGGTTTGCTGCTACAAGGAAACTAATAAAGTAGTGTGTTTTTAGTAAAATATTGATAGCTTACTATAAAATAAATAAATTGGCCAAGTTTGATCAAAATATATCCATAAACAAGCAAACTACAACATTTTACAATATTCTCCATAAGAATAACATGGGAATTTTAAATTTACAATTTTTTTAGTTTTCTCCGTAACCAATAACCGTACAAAAACACTTTGATATACTGAATTGTTTGTTTTTTTAAGCTCTTTAAGAAGGTTTAGAGAAAAATTGGGAAATTTTGTGTTTTGAGGGTAAAAAGTGAGAAAAACCAATTTTTACCCAATAAAACCCCCCATAAAACCCTGTTCCCATGGTCCGATCTAGCTGGATCGCGAACTCATTCAAGTTTATCCCGCCTTACACCTTCAAACCAAATTTCATCAAAATCGGATAAAAATTACTCAAGTTATCGTGTTCACGGACACATATATATATAAATCTATATATATATATACCTATATATATATATATATATACATATATAAAAATTTGAACGAATGGTGTTTTTGGCCTCTGGGGACATTAAAATGAAAAAGTAGATCGGTCCCGGGCCTAAGTCTTACCATGAGACCTACGGTAATAGCTACTTCCCTATAGGGAAATTCGCTAAAATGTAACCACTTCACAATTGTATAGGTAATTTAAGTGTAGACTCATCCATGCAAAGAATCCCAATGGGTACTCAAAAATACAAAAAAAAAAAACAATACTAATACATAATTATGCCTCACAGTCATAGCCAACCACTTTAGTCCAATTTAATAAATACAGATAAAAACACTATTGAAACATATATTTACCCTTGAACGTAAACTCATAAAACGCCAAATACGTAAAGAGGATGGTAGGTGGTAATCGATTTCGATTAGACACTCCAATATAACCCACTAGTCCTCCATTGGCAAGACAACTTCTATTGGCGTCCCTACTTATATCCTATTGGCTACCGGAAGTTTCGGGTGAAGAGTATTTCCATGAGTAATTTGAGTCAAAATTCACTTGTTTTGTTCATTATTACGTTTATTTCAATTTTTTCATCTTTTCTTATAAATATACAATTATTCCCAAGAATCCATCACATTTCCTTACTTACAGGTTTTTAAAATATATAGATTGTCTTCAATTTTCCTCAATGAGTGGCTATTTTGTAGCAAGTATTGTTTAACCTTTGATCTTTTAAATTTATTGTTTCTCCGTGCAGATATGTGGTTTTTAGAACTTTGAACAAAGTTTTCAGTTTGCCCAACGTAAAAGCTACTCGAAGCGTCGAAATTTTTACATTCATCTATTTTTGGACGCAGCATTTTACTTAAGGTGCTCTGAGTCCTGAAAGCTATTGGATACTCCACATTTCTTGAATGTGTTTACAATCCTGTGTGTCCTGATTCCCGTCTAACCAAATGTAGGCCATCTGATGTTTTCCTATTTAGTGTTTAACGAGCTTTACTAATTGATTTTATCTTTGCAGACTCGAGGTGGATTTTAGCAATCCCAAGTCGACAGCAAAACAAGATGAACGATGTAGGTGTCCGATCAGAGACGATCCTTTAGCTACTACGTGAGTACAAATAGTTAAAACCATTATTCATTATTACTGAATATGAATGAATACTAAATTGGGTGGTTTATCCTGGACTAGTATATCAAGATTTAAATTATATTTATTTCTAAACATTGTAGTTCAAAAAGCCTGGCATTGGTTCACTTAAAATGCCTCTGAGGCGGAGCCCTTTTGACGGATCTGCACGAAACTTCACACAAACCATCCTTGAAGAATGCTTATAGTCCAGGCAAATTAGACTAAAAAAAGGTAGTGCTCCCCGAAAAATCGTCTAAAGCTGGAAAGTGTTTAAATACCTTTTGGGGGTCCCAAATAATAGTCCTGTGAGTTTGCGACGGATTCTGACGTCTGCTTAAGTTTTGGGAGTTGAAAAACTATGAAAATTTTGCACTTTTTTCAGTTTTTCGCTTCTAACTGTTAAATGACGAATCCTACGAAAATTGTTGTTCAAAGGTGTCTTTTAGTGCATAAGATTCTGCGTCGATTGGTGTAAAATACATTGAAATCGGCCGAGTAGTTTAGCCGCTGTAGCTTTTCAAAGTTGGGATATTTTCATTAACATGGTAAAAAAGTTGATTATTTGATCGGTTTTCGGCTTACAACTCCTAAACGACGCATGCTATACAAAAATGCACCTGTAGATAGTTTGGTGAACACAAAATTCTGAGTAGAATGTTTATTAATTCTTTAACACCCGCAGTTGATTGTTAAAATTGGGAAATTTCACTAAATTTGGTTACAACGTAGATTCTGTCCTTTAAATGGATTATGAACTATTAGATAGTGGTTTATTCCATGGCAATCATCCAGAGGTTTATCCTAGAAGCTGTGAAAGGAACAAGACCCCCTATGTAATTTTAAATCTAATATTCTTATCTGAGGTTACAAAAAAATTCTAGGATTCGTCCCAACCTCCCATCCCTGGACACATTTTAAGCGATTCTAACATATGATAAGATATTACAAAGAGAAAGATTTTATTAAATAAACAAAAGATGATAATGGGACGGATGTACATTGTCTCATTATGGATTTTGCCTATTTTGAGAAAACAATTGGGAGTCTTCGTAGATTTCACCATAATAATAATTTGTTATAATAATAATAATAATAATAATAATAATAACTTCTCTACTTCTCATCATTGGAATGTTAAGAATAAGGATTCATTTCTTGCTCTTATTTGTCACAAATGGAGACATTTGGTATACCCTACCATATTTTTTTCATATATCGAATTGAGATAATCGTGGCCCTTTCAAGTCTTTCAGAAGAAAGCACCTTTGAATTTCAAAAGAAGCAGGTTAATGTAAACTTTTTTTTTACATGTACACTATAGTCGAAATAGGAAGTTACAGGATAGAAGTTCTTGTCGAACCGGTGGATTAGCCGTAGTGGTGGGAGTTAACCCATCGGCGTTAATTTTCCATACCCATCTCTCTGGATTGAGTACACTTTTAAATGAGCTCTAAAGGATTTGTGGATAGCAGCCCCTTTAGTAAGAATTAAGTCAAAATTAGTTTTTGAAAGTATCCTCTAGAAGAGGCCAAACCTCATTTGATATGGGTAATTTCTGCTCCCATCCATGTACAGGGTCAACTTGCTTCTGCACCTTCGCCAACCGTTGTAACCCGTCAGAACACAGTGAGATCCACATTGATTGGAGTGAACAGCATGAATAGTTCAAATTTTCTACTCTTCCACATCACGCTTTCATCATCAAACAGTGCTAGTGGGGAACGGAGTACGGACCTATTTGTAATCTAAAGTATGATTCAAATTGAGGCTGGGATTTAATTTGGAATATCGAGTGCTGACTGATGGGGGCAGATTCTTCTTGAATCTTTAATGGTGCCTTCACAGCTCGCAAGGTCACCACTTCCTTTTTTTATGCACAGTTAATGATCAATATAGGCTTGCCTATTTACAATTTTCTTGCAAGCTGAGCCTTTTCATTACGCTGTTTATATCTCGTGTTGATGCTATCATATGGGATAACTCCTGAGCTGTAGACATGAGGGAACTATTTTCAGTAAATTGGTCGTGACACTGGAACCATTTGATGAATTTATTTTTTATCCCACTGTATCCCTGGAGTTTATATTGTCAACGTGCTGATAATATGTTGAAAAGGTGATCCCACAATATTCCTCAATTTGATGGGTAACATTCACTGCGATTGGCATGCCAGCGATCCATCTAGGCCCCCATCGTTAATTCCCATATTTCGGAATAGCTATCCACAATAAGATGTTGCTTTCATGAGTACTTACTTGTTCAATGGTCATATTACGCCATAAACCGGACCAATACTTTTTGCCATGCTTTAATTGTAAAATGTCATTGTTCAATAAAAAGTGTATATTTAGCATTAGCCAGTTTGCCATTCAGCTGCTAGAAAATAAATTAATTTTTTTTTTAAGAGGTTGGCGGCCTCTTTTAACCTTGCATTTGCCCGTCCACATAGACTACAGATCTGTGCGTGGAACGTATCCAGCAAAGCAAGGGGTGAGCCGGTACAGTACAAAGGTGAACTGTACTGATAAAAGTTAGTGGCAGTGACCAGGATCCGAACCCACGACACTTCTGCCTTGGGCCCGAAGTCCGCGACGCTACCGACTGGGCCACCGACTCACCAACTCAACTTAAACTTAATTGTTTACTAATGTTGAAAATTTAGTGTTATAATTTTACATTTAAACCTGTGTTGCACTGAAAATAACAATACATAATAGTACATTTATTTTGTGATTGTAGTTTAACTATTTGTTACGGACGTGTTCAGACAAGGCCCCACTAGAAAAACAGGCCATGCTGCAGGATCCATGACGTCACACTAGTAAATAGATTCATTGATCCAGTCACTGCCTTATCCCCTATGTTTTTGGTAATTAAGCTGGTTGTTTGACAGATTTAAAAGGTAAGATTTTAGTACAATTATCCACCACTGTGACGTAGTATTGTTCTGCCCGTAGTGCAGCATGGCCTGTTTTTCTTCAGTATAGCTTTCAATTTTGGAAAGTTTCCGTCAGCAAAGAAACTTGACAAGCATTCGATCTATTGAATCCGATCTTAATGAATTGAAAAGCATTCTACGCAGACGTTTATGTTCTTCACACTAACTACTGGTACATTTTTTCTATAGCATGCTTCGTTAGAAGATGTAAGCCGAAAACTGAAGAATGAATCCTATAAATGGGAGGTTGAAATGAATCCTAGAATTTTCGGAACCTCAGACAACAATATTAGACTTAAAATTACATAGGGCGTCTTACTCTCTTCGCACGTTATTGGATACACCTCTGGATGATCACCATGGAATAAACAACACTTTAATAATTCATAATCAATTTAAAGGACAGTATCTACGTTATTACCCGTGTGACCTTAACGATCCTTTTTGAGTCCGTACCGTTACTATGAACTATAGTACACGCTTCATCCGATTTAGTAAAATGTCCCTCTTTACCAATCAATTGCCAGTATTAAGGAATAAAAAGAAACATTTTACGCAGAATCTTGTGTTTTCCAAACTAACTACAAGTGCATTTTTATATAGCATGCGTCGTTTAGGAGTTGTAAGCCGAAAACCGATCAAATAATCAACTTTTTTACCATGTTGATGAAAATATCCCAACTTTGAAAAACTACAGCGGCTAAACTACTCGGCCGATTTCAATGTATTTTACACCAATCGACGCAGAATTTTATACACTAAAAGACACCTCTGATCAACAATTTCCGTAGGATTCGTCATTTAGCAGTTATAAGCGAAAAGCTGAAAAAAGTGCAAAATTTTCATAGTTTTTCGACTCCCAAAACTTAAGCAGACGTCAGAATCCGTCGCAAACTCACAGGACTATTATTTGGGACCCCCAAAAGGTATTAAAACACTTTCCAGCTTTAGACGATTTTTTGGGGAGCATATGTCTAATTTGCCTGGGCTATTAATAATGCCTGAAAGTTTCATTACAATCTGTCAAGCGGTTTCGGAGTCCATAAGGTACTTTCATATATACATACATACATACATACATAGTTCCTCTTTTATAGATATAGATTATATACATTGTTTGTGGTTATTAAAATTACCGACACCTTGAAAAATGTATCCAAAAGGAAGCTGGAAACCGTATTTTTAAAACAAAACGAATTTAACTCAAGGTAAGTTTTACTTAAGACTATAGAAATTCTCTTTAAACATAATCTTGTACCAGAGATATGTTGATTATCCTTTGTATGATCCAGAGAGACGGATGCTCTACTACATGTAGTAAAGGCAAGCCTAGGTTCTGGTATACTGGCAATGCCTGACGCCTTCAAGAACTCCGGGTTGATGCTGGGACTGCTGGGGACAGCTGTGGTCGCCATTCTCTGTACTCATGGAACTTATCTCATAGTAAGTTGACAACTACTTTTTAACAATTCAGACTAGTGGAATGACTTATTGTGAGCTATAGCAACTGTTATGACCCATCAACTTGGCCAGCAACAAAAAATAAGGTAGAAAATAGAGTTTTAGTCACAAGCACATTCTCTGACTGGCTCACACAACTAGGTTCTTAAAAAAAAAAAAATGGCTACACCCAAACCTTACTGAAACTTAATCTATACCTAACCTTACTCTGAAACCTAATCTAAACCTTACCTAAACCTAACCTAATCTAAACTATACTTTAAAATAATGTACAGTTATTTTTAAGTTAACGTAAAACATTTTTGTTATCCTAACCAGTGAAACTCACGAATCCGGTTATAATCCGGTGTTCAGAATGTTTGCAAACTGAATTTCAAAATTTTATTTAGTAAAAAATAATTTAGTGTAGTGATTTAAAGAAACTTGATCCCTATATTTGAATGTATGAAAACTTAAAAATACACAGTTATCCTATTTTCAAATTTGCTGCCATTTTCGAAAATGGTGAACATAAAAAAATATGGAATCAATATTTTCTATGTATTTTTAAATGTTTGGTCTTTTTAGAATGTAGATGCAAATTTTAAGACTGATTTACACTTAGCATTTTCTCTCTAAGCTTACTCCTTTAGGAGCTACATGATACAGAATGTACACCGCCAAGTATAAAAACACATACACGCTAAGTGGAGTACACGCTGTAACTCCGAAACGAGTAGCTTTAGAGAAAAAATGCCAAGTATAAAAACGTTTTTAAATTTCATTTACTTTCTAACAAAATCATAAAAACAAAATCATAGGGTTTTCCATAACAAAAATCAAAGTTGGCGGCCATATTGAAAAAATGGCTGCTAAAATTATTTTTTAAACTTGTCCAAAATGTTTCCAATAAAAAGTGCAAGGCAGTTACGATTAAAAGTTTTTTATATATCTTAAACCTTCGAATTAACCCGCTGGCACACTAATATCAATCACCATGTACACAAAAAAACATTATTTAAAAACAAAATATTATTTCACTTAAAGGAAATAAAGTCGCTCATCTATATATATAAAATCCAATGTATGTTTGTTTGTTTGTTTGTATGTATGTTTGTTTGTTTGTCCTTTATGTACTCCAAAACCGCTTGACAGATTGTAATGAAACTTTCAGGGATTATTAAGCATTATTCAAGGATGGTTTGTGTGAAGTTTGGTGCAGATCCGTCAAAAGGACTCCGCCCCAGTGGCTCTGGAGTTTTCCATGTTAACCTTATGAGTACTCATATTTAAATGGAATTTAAGAATCTTAACAGCTGGTTCAAGTAAGCAATTTGATTCTGTGATGTTCAATAGCATTAAAAAGTTAATAAGTTCACCAACAGGGTGCAGCACGATTTTTTTTAATTTATGACAACAGCTAATCTGCAACCAAAATAATGAAAATGAACAAGCATTTAACATAAAAACCACATTAGGACAGGTCGACGTCTGTCGGGCCAGCTAGTTGATTATAAATCTGACCTTTCAACTATTGTGTGAAAACCTATAGAACAGTTTTAAAGTTAAATTTAAGCTAGTAACTTAATACTTCTAGACTGGCAAGACCTTAAATACTAGTGTACCTGTTGCTCGAATTCGAGCAATTGCGAAGCATTACAGGCGTTATAAACGAATAACAGTCATAATTTCCGATGACTTTATAAGAGTCGACTCAAAGATTATGGAAATACTCAAGCTGTGCACAACAGTTAGATATAATCAAAATTTTTGTAAATATCTTATCTTTTTTTCAAAAGCTGGCCTTGTTTTTTAGTGTTTTCTACAAATTTTCCCCACTTATAGCCGCATTAGGTTGTCTATAATAACGATTATACATGAAAAAAAAAAACATTATTTCTAATTCTTCTACTGTACTTGGTTGTGTTCTATGACTTTCCTGTTTCCATTGTTTGCAAATCTGCTCTTTCAATTATTGCTCAAGAAATGTTGCACAGTGTTATTTCAGTTTTATTTTTAGTATATGAAATTGTCCAGTATTTCTCACATTTTCCATTGTAATTTTAAATATTACACCAACCGAGTATCGTCTACTACAGATGCAATACGCCAAAGAATATCGTCAACGTGTAATCTCCAAGAAGTGGTAAAAAAGGCAGAAACCAACCCATACAATACATATAAGTTAACTCCATTAGAAATAATTTTAAGAGTTACTGTGATATTAAGATTTTCCACTGATTTGGTAATAGAACATTATATTGCAAAACATGACACGATTCGGAAGAAAATAATCGATTTTAAAATAACAAAAAAAAACCATTGCAAATACTTAATTAAAAAAAAAAAAATAGTAAATCACAATCTATATATTAATTTGAAACTGTTTTACTTTGTGACAGCTATTTTGAGAGAACGGCTGGGCGTAGAAACTTGGTAGAGGTGTCTAAAGAAAGGTCCTGGTCTGTAGATGAGCCATCAAAAGAGAAACATGGAGAATTCCCTCGGGGCTGTGCCTCAGTGGCCTTTAAATTCTCATACCATGTTATTCTTATGGAGGAAAATAAGGTTTTTGTCACAGCTAATTTGAGAGAACGGCTGGGCGTAGAAACTTCGTAGGGGTGTCTAAAGAAAGGTATTGGTCTGTAGGTGAGCTCTCAAAAGAGAAACGAGGTTAATTTCCTTGGGCCTCTGCCCCAGAGGCCTTTAAAGTTCACTCTGCAATTTTGTTTACATTTCGACCATATGGATAATTTTACACAACTTTTAATGAACCAGCTGTTAAGGTAAATGCACCAGTAGCTGACAGTGCTCTAGAAGCTGACAGTTTGAGTTTCTTTACATTATAATGTGGTCTCTTAAAAATATTTACACATGATTGCATTGTTAGAAGAACATATGTTTATTCTTGATTTGTTTACAAAAAAATCAGTGGAATTTAGCCCATACTCGCTGAATGGTGGTGGTTTGAAAGCGACCCTGTCTGTACACATCACATTTAGTCGATTCCCTTAATGAAATTGTTAAGAAGGTAAGTTTGGTTTTTAGTCATTTCGCTAAATTTCTTAAATAGTATTAATGATTAGGCTCATTATTTTTATCAATCATACCTTTGTTGACAATTTCATGATAAAATTGGGGTGTTAGGGGTTTTGGATTAAAAATTATATCAATGTCAGGCTTTGGTACACAAAAGCCATACAAGTTCCAATAGCTGACAGGGGATATTTGCTACTTGCACAATATTAAATTGGTTTTACCCATCGAAATTTGCATGCTATTTATAATTTATGTGATCTCAAATTTTTATAAAATGATTTTAATTTTTTAATTAATAAGCCAAATTATCTAAAAAAATGTATATATGTTTTTAATATAAATAAAAAATATATATATTTTTTAATGTTAATATTTTTTTATTTTAAAATATGTAAAATAAATTTTCTTAATAACGTTTTACATGATTTTATAATTTAATTATTAGGTTAGATTTTATTCGTCTTATAAATTATAAAACCCTTAGGTTTAGCAGCTAGTACATGTATAGTTCCAGTGTCAGCTACTGGGACAACTGACTGTCAGCTACTGGTACAAGCACTTTTTTCACTGTCAGCCACTGGAACACGTACAAAGGTTGAATTAAGTTTAAAAATGTTATAAAATATATTTAAAAAACCCTTTTTGTATGACAAATTTGAAAACTACACTAAATTTAGAATCACATAAAATCCGTAATATCTCTTTAGTTCCTATTTATTCAAAACCACGGATTATTAAGTGCGTATAGTTTCTTATACTGTCAGCTACTGGTGCGTTTACCTTAATATTAAAATTGTATTCAAAGGTCTACTGAAACTGTCAAAATTAAATGTATTCTCCACTGCATGGCAAGTTTTTTATAGTTTTGATACGTTTTAAATGTTTTGTTCAAAAATCAATGCTTTATTGCTCTTAGAAAATTTTGGGTTGAAAATTGTGTCATAGATGAGTACATTGAGGATGAGAGCTTTGTTCAAGTTTTGGAATAGACTAACTACGGAGTCTATGGTTTTGGTAAAGTAGGTGAACTAATGTCAATTCAGGTATTTAAAAAAAAATGTATACACAGTTTTTACTTTGATGTACACATGTAGCAAGGTCGAACTGAATTAAAAACAATTCCTGCTACATTGTAGTAATGAGAATTCATCGTGGTTTAGAGATTCACATAACCCGCCTGAGCATTGTATTGATGGGAATGGATACAACATAGGGTCCAATTTGGGAACTCGAAAAATTCGTTGCACTGTTGTCATAGACTCGCCATTTCGAACATACCGTCAAAGGAAAACATACAGCGTTGTCTGTCCACTGTTTCATGGCTCCTAAAATGTCGTAATTAAAAAAATGACTCCTTCTAACCGCAACGATTTTAGTTATGCAGTGTACGTACAGTATTAACCACTTGACCTTTTAGGACCAACGGAATCTCTGGTTATAGAACACTCCATTCTACACTCATCCTTCACACATATTTGGGTTAAAATACGCACCTAGGTGGCGTCCCCATCTCAATGATTGATTGATTGATTGATTGATTGAACAAAGCATCTAAACCTCACTACATACAAAACATTCGGAAACACAACAGTGTCATCACATCTCATCGCATTTGCATAATTTGTTACCAAGGCTGGACTAGGTTATGGATTTGGTTCCGCAAATGTTCAAGATTTGTGATAAAATTTCCTACAATTATGGTTCATTCCAATCCACTAAATACATGCACAGATTTATGTTATCTATATGGCCAAGGCAAAACTACTTCATAAGTTAATGAATTATCAAGTAAGAACAGATGATTAAATACATGGGTCGATGTTGTACAGCCTTTCTCTGCAATGACAAAACCCGGTTTTCCTCCATAAGAATAACATGGGATGGGAATTTAAAGGCCAGTGGGGCAGAGCCACAAAGGAATTTACCACGTTTCTCTTTTGATGGCTCATCTACAGACCAAGACCTTTCTTTAGAGACCCCTACCGAGTTTCTACACCCAGCCGTTCTCTCAAATTAGCTGTCACAAAGAAAAACAGTTTCAAATTAATATATAGATTTAACGACTGAATTCCAATTAAATAAAACACGAAACTTCAAAAAATACATGGAATTTTGTAAAAAATCATGATGTTTCTATTCAATCATAGTTTATTAACGAGAAATGATGATATTAATACAGGGAAAATGGCTGGTATATATTTACAAAGCTGTGAACCATCAACATCGTTCGTTTGTAGTCAGAGATTGGTTTTCAATAAGTTACTAGAATGATTTTGCATTAAAATGTTGGTGACCTGTTTTTGCGTTAAATTAAAAGAAACTAATTATTATTAACGTTCTGTCTATTTGATGTTCAGTCCAGAATATTACGTGCAGAGTATCAATGCTGTTCATTTTTGGCTCTAATTAGTTATGCAGCCTAAAAAGTAACTTTAAAATACTTATATAAATGCAATGGTAAAATTATCTTTTATTAATTCCAGCATTTTCGAAGGATTAATATAAGCTAATGTTTTTTCGTGTTTTCATACATTTCTGCACGTGAAAAAAACCAATACCTAAGTGTTTTTTTGTTTTTAGCGAATTTCCCATATAGGGAATAAGCTATTACGGTAGTACTCATGGTAAGACCTGGACGCGGGACCGATTTTTTTCGTTTTGAGGTCCCTAGAGGCCAAAAACACCATCCGTTCAAATTCATATATATATATGTGTGTCCATCAGCACGATAACTCGAGCAAAAATGATCCGATTTTGATGAAAAATGGTACAAACGTGTAAACGTACGTTTATTCGAACGAGTTCGCGATCCAGCATGATCGGACCATGGGAACGGGGGTTTACGGGGGGTTTTATGGGGTAAAAATAGGGTTTTCCCATTTTTGACCCAAAAAACATAAAATTTAGCAATTTCTTTCCAAACCATTTTGTAGAGCTTAAAAAACAAATAATTTAGTATATTGAAGCGTTATTATGCGCCTAATAGTTACGGAGAAAATTCCAAAAAAATTTTAATTTAAAATCCCTATGTTATTCTTATGGAGAATATGTAAAACTGTTGTAGTTTGCTTGTTTATGAACATATTTTGATCAAATTTGGAAAATGTTTTTATTTCTTACTAACTATTAACATTTTACAAAAAAAAAAACAGTTTTACCCTCCCTGATGCAGCAAACCTAAGTACTTGTTAAACTAATTCTTTTTAAATCGGGAATAAATTTTATATTTTTAAGTAGACATTTCAGTGTTAATCCAATCAGTCAAATGGAAATTCGCTTAGTCTGCAGGTTTGCTGCGGCGGGGGTATTAAATTTGTTCTATGTATTTCTTAAGGAGAAAACCCGACCTTTGAGAGGGTCTCACGCCCTTAAGAGTAGGAGTTTAAAAAATCTAAAACCTTATTGCAAAACTAAATATTAAGACGAATCTTTTGACACCTTAAAAGTTTAAATCGGTCCATGTATAAGGGAGGAGTTGCGTTAACAAAAAACGGCTTCACGTATTATACAGGGTGTCCCGGAACTCTCTACCAATATTTTAGGGCATTGTTCCTGGGTAAGAAACATATCTAAATATCATATTTAAATTGTCCGGAAGTCCTTATTTACTCAGATAGCCGCCATTTTGTTTTTTTCACTTATTAATTTTTTTCTGAAGATTGGTTAAACATACGAAGTTGAAACTTTGCACAAACATTTATGACAACTAGACAAAGCTACAAAAAAATTATGACGATTTTTCAAATTCATAAAACAAAATGGCGGCTGATTAAAATTTTGTTTCTTAAATTACTCGAAAACCGTTGATTTTACAAAAACTTTACAAGAATAACTTTTTTAAGGCAATTTAATTAAAAATCGATCGACACCTTAATCTTTAAGATCGGACGAGTATTAACTGAGTAACTGAGATATGGCATTTTTAGTGATACGTGACCGCTTTCAGCATGCGTTGCAACTAATATCCGGCGGTCACGTATCACTAAAAATGCCATATCTCAGTTAATACTCGTCCGATCTTAAAGATTAAGGTGTCGATCGATTTGTAATAAAATTGTTATAAAAAAGTTATTCTTGTAACATTTTTGTAAAATCAACGGTTTTCAAGTAATTTAAGAAACAAAATTTTAAACAGCCGCCATTTTGTTTTATGAATTTGAAAAATCGTCATAATGTTTTTGTAGCTTTGTCTAGTTGTCATAAATGTTGTTGCAAAGTTTCAACTGCGTATGTTTAACCAATTTTCAGAAAAAAAATAATAAGTGAAAAAAACAAAATGGCGGCTATCTGAGTAACTAAGGACTTCCGGACAATTTAAATATGATATTTAGATACGTTTCTTACCCAGGAACAATGCCCTAAAATATTGGTAGAGAGTTCCGGGACACCCTGTACATATAGACAAACTTATATTTGATTAGATTTGGCAATCTTTTTAAAAATCTATTGATTTGCTACAAAGTGTTTGCAGAACTTGTGTCTTTTCATTGCATAAAAATCAATTTTTTAAATCGAAATAGGCCTACTATAGTGGTTTTATTGTCCGTGTTATGTGACTAATAGATACTTAATGTCACACTATCAAATGATTTTGAAGTATATATTTATTTCAATATTGCATCATGTATTTATTACTTAATAAATTACTTTAATAAAGTGCAACTTATTTATTCCCTGGAATTTTTGCCCTCCGTGCTTACTAATTTTTATAAACTTATATTAGACGCTTATTCGATTTATTTGTTTTATAAATTTTTTTTAACGTACCATCCCAAATACTAATTAATTAACTTTTAAATCTTTTAACGCATAGCCTCCTCCAGCGTTGGTGTGTAGTTTCGTCACGTCGGCCGGTGTATTGTAATTTGAAAACCCTAAAAAGTATATTTTTTTATCACATTCACTCTCATGTCTTATACGGTTATCATTGTATGGGTAAAAAAAATAAATATGGATAGCCTTCTGAAGCAGCAAAACGAGGCTATCAGAATTATACTCAAGCTTAAACGAGAAGATTCAGCAAATGAACATTTTAAGAAATTACAAATTTTAACAGTTTATGTGAAATATATTTATGAAACAATTCTTATCGCAAAACAAATTAATCAGAGGAAGGAATAAATTCATTGCATTCTTATAATTTGAGGAGGAGAAGGGAGTTTGTCCAGCCTCACAAGTAAATTTTTTTTAACCCTCATACGCTCGTAACATTTTTCTAAAATTTGTCCCTGAATTTATAAAAAAGAAATGGTCATATCAAAATTCAAGAAAACTCTAAGAGTATATTATAAATTTAACATTATATTTTTTGACGAGTTGTCCACCTACCAGAAACATAAATATTGAATAGTATCTTTATTTTATGTATTTTGACACTATTCGCTGTACCACCAATGTATATGAGTTATGATAAATAAAGATGTTAGAATATGAATATGAATAATAATAGTAATAAAACTGTTAGAATATGAATATGAATAATAATAGTAATAAAACTGTTAAACATTTCTTAACTTAAACATTGCGCAAAAGCTTCATTACGAATTAGTGCGATTGCGTTAGCTGTTTCGGCAGGCCGTGACTCCGGCGTCGCCACTTTTGTCTCGCCACGGCCTCGTATTGAAGAGGCTATGATAGAAGGCACACCAAGTTGCATCCACAGATATAAGAACAGAAACGGTTATTACATCATAAACATAACAAATGACATCACTGGTCAGAATATATCTGATAGCAGTAACAGTTAATCTTAACAGTGGTAGCGTCTTACCTTATAGTTATGTTATAAATCTTCACATCCCTTACTGTAATATAACATTTGGAAATTATTTTCAGGTGAAATGTTCTCAAGAGCTTTGTTATTTGTACAACAAGACGTCTCTAGGCTATACTGACACCATTGAGACAGCCTTCCAGACATCACACTTGCCTGGCTTGAGGAAATGTTCAGTGTGTGCAAGGTACAAAGCTGTGTAACCTACAACATATGCTTCATACATGGTGTTCAAAAAATGTGGGAACGTAGGCTAGTGATTTCTTGGTTCAAAATAAACAATATAGTTAAATATAACGGCTATTTTAAATATTTTGGTCAAATTTCACGAAAACTGTAATTTTACAACAATATTGCAAAGTACACTAATTTTAGTAGATATAAAGGAGATTCCAACAATATCCTATCAAGCTTAGTTTTGACAAAGATGAACTGAGAAATTAACATATATCTCGCTAAACATACAGTTTTCTTCATAGAATTAACATTGTTTAAACGGAGAAAACTGTAGGTATAGCAAGAGAGAAATGAGTTGTTCATTTTTTCTCGGGCGAAACAAAGACTATAGCCAGAGAGCCCATGACTACCAGACCTTCGTTATTTTATAAAAGCTGAAAGTTTCTCAGCAAATGCTCCCAATTCAGTGAAGAATGATCGGCGACTATGAAATTTGGATATTGGTTACTTTGGCAACAAAAAGGTAACAAAGGTCTGAAATTTACAAATAATCTTCGTTATAGTATAAAGCTTCGTTCTTTCATATTTTCTTTAGATGAATGTTAGAAATCATTTACTCCATTGCCAGACACTTTGTGTGGTTTAAACCCTCTGCCAGATACCCTTAAAACTTAGGTATGACGAAGATTAATTTTCGCCATTTTATAAAAGCTGAAATTGATAAATGTTACTTGGGGAGCTATCAAAAGACATTTTCTCAAAAGCCAGACACTTTCGTTGGTTACTTCATCTAGCCAGACACTTTAAAGTCTGCCGTGATAAGCTGAACTGTTACCTGCAAACAGTGAATTCAGTTCCAGTTTGGAACAGGTTTCTGTGCCAAATATAAACGGTGAAATCACAACTTATTTCTAATAGTAATTGCGTTAATTTACATCATAGTATAAAAGCTGAATTTGATATATGTTACTTGGGAAGCTATGAAGAGACATTTCCTTGAGAGCCAGACACTTTCGTTGGTTATTTTATCTTGCCAGACACTTTAAAAGTCTGTAGTAATATAATAGGTACAGTTGTTACAAACAGTGACTTCAAAACACTGCAGGAATAAACAAACAATTAAATGCAAATACAACATATGTTTGCATCAAACATATGGTTTATTATAAAAACAGATTGTGAAGAAAAAAGTAGCAATTTCACCGTTTACATTTTGGCAAAGGCAAACTGGAACTGAATCTTCTGTTTGCAGGTAACAGTTAAGCTCATCACGGCCGACTTTAAAGTGTCTGGCAGTGGCATGATAAAATAACCAACGAAAGTGTCTGGCTTTTGAGAAATCGTCTTTTGATAGCTCCCCAAGTAACATATATCAATTTCAGCTTTTATAAAATGACGAAAATTAATCTTCGTCATTCTTAAGTTTTAAGGGTGTCTGGCAGAGTTTAAACCACACAAAGTGTCTGGCAATGGAGGAAATGATTTCTAACATTCATCTAAAGAAAATACGAAAGAACCAAGCTTTATACTATAACGAAGATTATTTGTAAATTTCAGACCTTTGTTACCTTTTTGTTGCCAAAGTAACCAAGATCCAAATTTAATAGTCGCCGATCATTCTTCACTGAATTGGGAGCATTTGCTGAGAAACTTTCAGCTTTTATAAAATAACGAAGGTCTGGCAGTCATGGGCTCTTGCTCTACTAGTAATGTTTAACAAATCTGGAAACTTTTCTGTAAAATTAATAGGTTTTGTAAAATTTAGCATAAAATATTCAAAATAGCCGCCATTTTGAAGGGTCTGACTTAGGGGAGGTACGAATGAGGCATTTAGTTCAAAATTCCTCCGTGAACAGCGCTGTAGTAGAGAGCACTTTGGCAATGAATGTTTACTAATCGCAAAAATAGTTCTGTTCATAAAATAAAATTATAAATGTCTCAAATTCAATTTTATTATTTTTTAATTATTAAATTAAACTATCATAACCTAACCGAACTAACCAAACTTGCTGATAAAGAAATAATATAACAAAGTTTAGTAATCGGAAAAATAATTAATAATTTATTAAATAAAACTAGAATTTGCTCAATTAAAATTTTATAATGACTTAATAATAAAATTAAACTGTAATAACCGAACCAAACCAACCAAACTTGCTGATAATAAAAAAATCTTGGACAAAAAGTTAATGCTACTAGCAGGATTCGAATCCGGGACCTACAGTATATCAGCCCGGCACGCTAACCATTAGACCACCGAGGCCGATGGCTACCGACCGTTTTGTTACGGTAATGGCGTTCCCTCAGCTAATAAGAAGCCCACAGCTGTCATCAGCCTCTTCTATACCTCCCCTGAGGAAATACCCATTTTGAAACGAGAGTTGTTATTCTTCTTTCGCAAAAAGATATCGGCTCGTAAGATTGACCTGGGGCCTATTTCATAATAAACTACAAACTAATATTAATATTAAATCAGCTGATTCAATGCAAATCTAATGGAAATTAAAAATTAAAAGTGACAGCTTGTAACTTGTAGTTAATTATGAAACTGGCCCCAGGTTGTACAATTTCAACGCTGTTGATCAAACCGTTGAGGAGTTATGCATGTTTTTGTAAAGACACATACAGACAGACAATAAACGAAACGAGGAAAGACAAATGTTTATGTAAACCTTTTTTCGCTACACTACTGTGAAATTTCATGTTTTCGTTGCTTGTTCATCACCTGCGAAAATCTATCATTGCATCGTTTACTACGGCAAAAGAATGTTTACTTTACGAAAGTAAATATTTTTCGAATTTCTCATATAGGGAATAAGCTATTACCGTAGTACTCATGGTAAGACCTGGACCCAGGACCTGTTTATTTTTTCGTTTTGAGGTCCCTAGAGGCCGAAAACGCCAACCGTTCAAATTCATATACATATATATATATAAATAGGGAATACATGTGACATTTTTAAGGAGACATTTTAGTGAATTCCCCATATAGGGAATAAGCTATTACCGTAGTACTCATGGTAAGTACTCATGGACCTGGACGTGGGACCGATTTTTTCGTTTTGAGGTCCCTAGAGGCAAAAAACACCATCCGTTCAAATTCATATATATATATATATATATATATATATATATGTGTGTGTGTGTGTGTGTGTGTGTGTGCGTCCGTTAGCACTATAATTCGAGCAAAAATTATCCGACTTTGATAAAATTTGGTATAAACGTGTAAACCTACATTTATTCGAACGAGTTCGCGAACCAGCATGATCGGACTATGGGAACGGGGTTTACTGGGGTTTTATGGGGTAAAAATAGGGTTTTCCAATTTTAGAACCAAAAAACATAAAATTTAGCAATTTCTTTCCAAACCATTTTGTAGAGCTTAAAAAAAAACAAATAGTTTAGTATATTGAAGCGTTATTATGCGCCTAATGGTTACGGAGAAAAAAAATAATAATTTAAAATTCCCATGTTATTCTTATGGAGAACAAGTAAACTGTTGTAGTTTGTTTGTTTATGAACATATTTTGATCACATTTGGAAAACTACCGGTAAAATGTTATTTACAAAAAAACTGTTTTACCCTCACTGATGCAGCAAACTAAAGTACCTGTTAAACTAATTATATTTAAATAGGAAATAAATGTTATATTTTTAAGTAGACATTTTAGTGTAAATCCAATCAGGCAAATGGAAATTCGCTTAGTCTGCAGGTTTGCTGCGGCGGGGGTATTCACTTTACAATCCGTTCAAAAGTTGAACAATAGGCAAATGAATAAAACAATACAACATTAAAAGTTAACTTGAATAACATGAGCTAGTATTGACCACTGCCAACACTAGCTAACAAAGAGAATTGTGATAACACTTAGCCGAATCTAAATAGGAGGTCCAATCTGTAAATGTTAACTATCTTTTTGGATTTTGCCGACGTAAACAAACAAATATTTGTTATTGTTTTATCAACTGTTTCAATTTTCAACAACTAAAGTAAACATTATCTTTAAATTGATGACATAACCTAAACAATTCTACCAGTTTTGAAATGAAGAAACAATTATTCTTTGTAGTTTAGCGAAAAGTAATGTTAAAAACACAAGTGAAAGTGTGTCTATACATATTCTTGACTATTTGAAGTGATCGATAAATTGATCGATTCAAACATGGTCTCAAATGTGTAATGACTCACTTTCTACTCTCAAGTTATGAAATATAATATTGCTCATTTCGACTCGAGGAATCACCAAGTAAATTATGTCCGCACCCATTAGCACTTTGTACTTTTGATATGTAATGTTTTCGAGGAATCCCAATCCTTTCCTTGTCAGTGTTTAGTTGAGGGTTTTAGAAATTTTTTTTATGGTTTTTTTTTTATTAAACTGCAAATAGTTATCAGCACAAATAGTTTCACTATACTGTATACAATATAAACAGGGGTTGAAAAAAGTGACCTCAGATTTTAGATGATTGTGTAAAAATATGATCGTTATCAACACTAAGATGTTCAATTATATTATTATTGATATTTTATTATTTGATTTATTGATCAATCTTTCACATTTTATTATTGATATTTCCTGTTAATTAGTTTAGGTGCAATTTTATTTATCAGATTTAGTAATAAAAGACAACAGTATTTAAGAAGCAGTTGGTGATTGGAAATAACAAAAAATAAATCAATTATATAATAAATAATATTTTTAGAACTTCATAATAATGTAACTAGCAATTATTTGAAACAAAACTACAAAGTCATGGAATAAAAACCATATTTGATGCTAAACTAAATATTCCACTGGACCAATTAATTGGCCAATAGATAGCATCAACAGTATCAAAACATTTAAATATGCTCCACAAAAAAAAAAACTACTTAAAATTCATTTTGGCATAATATTAATAGATCTTTATAATCTTGATAATAATTTCACCTTTTTATTTTTAGGAGGTTTGTCAGTTTATTTCTATTCCTGACATACTACGGGGCCAACACGATATACATACTCCTAATTGCATCAACCATGCAACAGGTTAGTACAAGAATGTGTTCTTAAAAAATATTTACAATAATATTTCAAAGGACAGTAAAATTCAAGATCACAAAACATATTAAATCTTGTACGTGGATTTCTTAGTATACAAGGTTTCCCATAAGTACAAAAATATATTTAACGAGTCAAAATAAAACCACAGGTCATACAAACAAATTTTTATATACAGAAAACATTTTTCACTACACTACAGTGAAATGACATGTTTTCGTTGCATTTTTATCACCAAAATCGATGATAACATAAAAAACCTATTACATTGTTTAATACGGCAAAAGAATGTTTAATTAGAATTAGAATGTTAATTAGAATTAATGTTAATTAGAATGTTAATTTAATTAGAATTAGAATGTTTAATAAGAATGTGTAACTTTCCACTCTTAGGAAAACATGGCCGATGTTTTCAGCCGTTTTATAAACGTTTATTTGAGGCCGAAAGCCACGTGTTGCCGCCTATGCCAGATGTCATCGTCATTTGGGGACCGAGCTGGTTTTACCATCGGTGTATAATCGATGCTTTTTACATCCCTAGGGCCTAAAACCAGTTGTTCACTTACTTTCTCAAAACTTTAATGCATATTCAATAAACAATCCGTATCCATATCATTTCAATAGACTTATTTTTTGGTCACTGCTGCCTAGCAACTATTCATTATTATTTTTGCTGATTCCTCAAATTATTTCTTCACATAACCTTAAAGTTGAAGTTAACTATTTTTGTGTGTTTTATGCAAGTGGAATTTGTTTACGTTTTGAAAGGGAACAGTCCAAACCCTGGTCTTGTTACTATCTAACGTCAACCTAGATAGCGTCATTGATTCATAGCCCAATGACAAATGACATCTGGGTCTGGAAACGATCTCGCTTGGATATGTTGACTGTTAGTGTGCATTAATAGTGTGGTGAATAGTTGTAATAGGGTATAGTGTGGTGAAAAATAGCGTTTGTACCACGGACCAAAATGGTTTTGTAGCTCTCGATCGTTTTAAGTTCTCGACTTCGTCTCGAACTTAAATACTTTTATACCTCGAGCCGGCAAAACCTCATTTTCGGTCCTAGGTACGAAATGTACTATTTCTGGTTCAGGGTGACTGTCTGTATTTCTAAAAAAATTCTCTCACATACATACAGTCACACAGACAGACAAGATAAAAAAAAAAAAAAAAAAAAAAAAAAACACTGTCTGGGGTTCAAGGGGACCCAAAACAGATACTTCCATTCAAAAACTCAAACTCGAACAGTTTGATGAAAAAAATACTTTCTCCATGTTAAGTGGGAGGAAGTAAAAGAATATACGTGAATTTACATTATAGAGTTTAGACAGTAACTGGAAATTTATATTGGAAAATATTTCTAGAAACCTAACAACATCAATGTGAATATATTTCTCGCTTGAGTTGAAGAATAATCCAAGGAATGTTATATGTATTTAAATAGCTGAATACATTATTCACCTAACTCTAATCCGAGGAAGTTATTACCTGCAATGTATTCCTCGCTAGACATTAGACATTCCATCCCCATGTTAAATTTGTAGCCAGTTTTTTTTTCAAAGTCGTCGTGGTTGATGTGAGCCACCTACAGATTGCGCTGATCGAAATTACTAAATTCTGCCGAATGCCTACACAATCTTTTTAACCAAATCAAACTTAGGGAATGACATGATGAAAATATAGCAACTGTTTTTTGACCCATCAACCTGGTCAGCAACAAAAAATAAGGTATAAAATAGAATTGTAGACACTAGCGCATTCTGTGACTGCCTCACACAACTGCATCTTTTTTAAATATAAAGTTGGCAACAGCTGGTCCATATAGATGGGAAGTCTAACAGTCAATGCTATTACCATCTGGCATATAAAACGCGTTGATTGTTTTAGATTTTATAAATAATAACACGTCAATTGGATTTCGTTATCCAATTCCAGAATCTAATTAAATTTAATGACTTAGCTCTATTGTACAGTTCTTAATGTCTTAATGACATTAATGAAAATATATTCGGCGAAAAATAATTTTAAAACCCCGTTTGAAAGGGGTAAAAAGCGGTGTTCTGAGTAAAAGACTCCCTTGCGTGAGGTTAAGTTTTGATAAATACAGACCATCAAAGGTGGTTTTAGAATCTGGTTCTTTTCATTCTTTTTAACAGATGTGGGAAACAAATAAAAATACATGTCATTTACAACACCTTTTTCAAATTGTAAGATTTTAAAAAAAGTAACACTTTGTAAAAATAAATTGATCGATAACACAATTTTAAAAGTTACTTCAAAATGAGTTTCTTGATGATTTTATTTGTAATTTTATCCTAATTAGGCGTTATGCTATATAAATAGATGATCATATATTTAAGGATTTAATGCCAGGTGATGATAGTAATGAGCTGTCTCAGCATGATTCCCTAAGTAGTATCTCATCAACCACAATTTTTATTTAGCTGAACTTCATATAATGAATGTACAGTTGGATTTTTTTAGCTAGAAGAGGTAGGTGTGGTGGAATATATTTAAAGATAGGCCTTTTTGGCTGAAGTGTGATCGTGACCATACGTGTCAAATTTTGAAGTTAAATCAAAACAAACAAACTGGCATATGTTTTTGGAATTGATAACAGTTAAATATACTTTAAACTTAATCTGGCCTACTTTTATAAAAAAAAAAAAACATGGCCATTTACAGAATATTTACTGTGAAGTAGAGACGTGATTCCTAGTTTCGGATCGACTAATAAATAAGGCGTTATACAATTATTGCCTCCAAATTATAAGTGATGGTTGCTTTGAAAATAATTAATTAACATGAACCAATTTTAAAGTAATGAATCATATTACAAAATTAATGTCGACTATTTTACTAATAGAATAAAGTGGATGCTGTGACTGGGATACAGATAAAATATTTGTTGGGACATACAGTAACATGCTGATTTAAGTTTCGTTTGGAAATCTCTTAACATATAAATACAGAACCACCTAGTTTCAAGTTAGAGTCCAGAATTAAATACTCTCGAGATGACGAGATAAACCTTTATAGACTAACGTTTTGACCCGTTAAATTACCATTAACAGCAAACTGTATTGCTCATAATTGACTAATGCAATCAGATAATCTCACCACGTACAAACAGGATCACGTTATACGATAGGCCAAGGAAGCCATTCGAGTTTGCTTTATAAAATTCAGTAGCCTAAATACTAAATGTTTTCTTATAAACTAGAGGAGTAAATATGCCAAATTAATTCATTTGATCGTAAATAAGCATTCTTTCGTAAGTAATACAACACGGCCTCTAAATGCCTAAATGTCAACATGCCAGTTTGTTTGTTTCGATTTAACATCAAAATTTAACACGTATGAACACATGATCACACTACAGCAAAAAAGGTTCATCTTCAAAGATATTCCACCACACCTTAACTACTTCTAGCTAAAAAGAAATCCAACTGTTGACATTATGAGGCTCTCACACTGTAAAACATTAGTTTGTATTAATTTAGTTAACCAAACTAGAGCACGTTGTTAAAACTTGTTTAACTATTCAAACATTGTGATTCAGTTAATTTAAATTTGATCAAGAGAATTAAGTTTGTGTTTAATTAACCAGTTGATGGAGACTGTTTAACATGTGTTTACATCTAGAATATCTACAAACATGTATTAAAATGGAGACACACATTTGCGCTAGTAAAATATTATACTTCATATACAGTTAAGTAACTATAACAAATAGTAACGAATGAAAAATAAAGCTTTTTTAAATGCCAACACAATAATCGCAGTAGCCTACAAAACAAACGGAGCGTACAAAATTAGATCACGTTGTAGCAACTAAGAAAGTAAACACTTTGCTTTGGAAAAACATGCAATTAATAACTCGTATTATTTTACAGTTTAGTCAATATTAGTCGTTTAGTGATGTTATCTATGATAACAACACAGAGCTCTTAATGTGTATTTCTAAACGTTACTTTACAACGATTTAACGCATGACAGTGTTATTTTTCTTGCTAATCCCAATATTTTGGCAATCCTCTACTTTGTATGTCTAATTTGACCACTTCATAAAACATGGGTTTTTAATTTCTATTACTAATTTTTCATTGCTGTTGGATTGGTGATGTTGAAGGTTGATGGTGAGGTGGCTCAGTCGGCCCAAGGCAGCGATGTCGTTAGTTTGGACCTCGGTACCCTCCAATACTTTTCAGTACAATTACCTTTGTCTAGTACCGGTTCATCCATATATTTGCTGGATACGTTCTACACACAGGAATTTGTGGCCCATGTCGACGGGCATTAGCAAGGTAAAAGAAACCTCACACCACTTAAAAAACAAAATTGATCCCCTGTAGGTCTTACACGTTTGTTTCCAGGTGTGTCAGAACCATCTGGGTGTAGACTGGTCTACACGTTGTTTCATGCTGATCCTGTTCGTTCCTCTATTGCCTGTCGCGATGGTTCATCAGATGAAGTACCTGGTGCCATTCTCTGCAGTTGCGAATGTCATGCTGCTCGTTGGTATCTCACTCACTTTCTACGTCACTTTGCAAGATCTCCCCCCGATGACGTCACGACCAGCGGTTTCCAAAGACCTGTCCACTCTTCCGCTGTTCTTCTCAACCGTTCTTTGTGGAATGGAGGGAATAGGAACGGTAATTAATTCAAACTAAATGTTATTTGAAACGATAAAAAGTTTTATTGATGTTAATGATCTTAGATTTAAATACTATCTCAACCGCAATATAAGATCTTGGTTTAAAAATCTATTAAAATATGAAATTTTGCTTTCTGATTTTGGTAAAAATAAAAACTAGTTTTCTTTTATCAAAAATTATTATGAACTTTTCAGTAAAGGTATGGTCTGTTTATTTTACTGTTTGGAGATCCCTAGTGTTGATAGTCCATCCATTGAAATCCGTCGTCCTTTAGCTCTCAAGGCATTTTGCTACGGATGATAGCAAGATGGTATCTTTTTACTCAGACTTTACTATATGAACCAAAATGAACGGATTATTTCCATGGTCCTTATGGTCCATCTAATATGTCTTTTTTCCTGCAGATTCAACATATGGAGGACTTAATTTCCTTCAGTGTCAAAACAGATTCACAATATTTAAAAAAATATTTTATTTGTGATCCTTGTGGCACAAAATATTTTATGTTTCTGGTCTTTGATTTAATTTTGAAAAGTTTATTATTTAAAATGCCACTGATTTCAGTGTACTTTTTTCTATCTTCTAGATATGAGTTAAATCAACAGAGCTCTGTTAATTTAACATGACAAATCCTGTCAAAATCTTTTGTCAGGTCCAAAATTTACTTCAAACATAATTGCTCTTATCCATGTTTTCAACCAATAAACGATAAAAGAGCTGAAACTGAATATCTATTCTTTCTATGCCTATGATGCTCAAAATTTAATAAATTGTTTACCTCCAAATATTGTACTAGTTGAGAAAGCATACACTTCTTCAAGATTTTAGAGAGAGTGGGCTGGATTGAAAGCGGTCTATAGTTTGCAGGATCTTTACAGTCAATTCTTTTTAAACATTGGAACAATTTTAGATAATTTTAGTTCTGGTGGATACCTTCCTGAAATTAAGGATTCATTAATAGCATGGAAAAAGTGAGCAAAAAGTATTTTAGCATCTTTAATTATTTTAATGGGAATTTCATCATAACCAGCAGACCATTATTTGGCTTATTATCTATTTTAACTCTAACTATGTAACAGTTCGGGAATACAACTTACACTTAAGCAAAAAATGTGTAGATATTTGAGAGTTATTAGGCATTTTTAAATTTGGAAGAATTGATTTGTCAACTACATGTAAAATAGTCATTTAAATCATTAACCTCAAAAGTAAGGTACATCAGTATCCTTTTGGCCTAACTAGACTAACTCTCATATTTCCTCATAGCTTTTTCTCTCAAATTTCCATTCCTTCCATTCCATTCCTATCAGTATCCTCTTGGACCAACTCGATTAAACTGTCCTATATTCCCACAGATAACTCCATTCCCACCTGTATCCTTTAATCCCTCTTTTAGTCAAACTAGACTAACTGATCCATTTCATCATAGAGAACCCCCATACCCATCAGTATTCTCTTGGCCCACATAGACTAAATGTCCTATTTCATCATAGAGAACCCCCATACCCATCAGTATTCTCTTGGCCCACATAGACTAAATGTCCTATTTCATCATAGAGAACCCCCATACCCATCAGTATTCTCTTGGCCCACATAAATTAAATTACCAATTTCCTCATAGAGAACCCCCATACCCATCAGTATCCTCTTGACCCAGCTAGACTAAATGGCCTTTTTCTTTTGGCCCAGCTTTTAGGTTTTATGTTCTCTATAAGTAAATAGGACCTTTGCATTTAAGTATATAGAACATTTGTCTTATTTACTTGTATAGAATCTCGATCCCATCCTTTTGACCAAACTAAACTTAATGTCCTATTTACTTATAAAGAACCTCTTTTGGTCCAACTAGACTAACTGTTCTATTGTCTACAGATCCTCCCAATAGAGAACTCTATGCGGAACCCTCGCAAACTACTTAGCTGTCCTGGCGTTCTCAACACCGCGATGATCTTTATCACTTTGCTCTTTGGTTCCATCGGCTTCTTTGGATACCTCAAGTTTGGCGATGATGTTCAAGGCAGCGTCACTCTCAACATGGGAAACGATATGTTAGTATCAGAGAAAAAATTACAATATTTTTTTTAAATAATTGATAAGAAAACGCCTTTAATATAAAAAAATCTAATATCACTAACAATAAAAATACACCAGTATTTAAAACTGTTTGTTGATGGTTAGGCCTATGAGCTACGCAAAGATTGTTACATAATACAATATAGATTTCGAAATTATCCTTTGTAAAAGCTCACTCTCTAGTTGAAAACAAGTTCCTATTTTGTTTCTTCTCTTTCAATACAATCTTGAAACAAGTGGTAAGCATTCTATTTAAAGCTTTAAAACTGTTTTAATTACCATGTACAAAAGGTTTTCGGGAGGAAATCAAAACGTTACTACTGTTTATGCACAAGCCTCTTGAAGAGCACGAGCAAACCTAAAAGTTCGGTTTACATTACACCTAAAGTTCACCCAACCTAAAAGTGTCTTCTCATTGATCACAGGAGGTTGCTGCCTGTGATTTTAAAGTTGATCTCAGGTCCGTGGCATAAATTCTTTCTCTTCGTATTACAAATCACAAACCATTTAACATAACCTAAATAACAAATAACCTAGATAACAAATAGATTACAATTCAGTAGTAGTAAATTAACTTTTAAACAACTCTTTATGTATAATTAGTTATAGAATAGTATTAAAACATACATCATTTGAATGTTATTCTCATAGAAAAATGTTAAACATTATTTTTGTCGATGGCTAAACGTTGGTGGAGAACGTGGCTTTTTGTAATTTCCAGAAGAGTCATTTATTCCCACTCAACCTTAAGTGATAAATTATGTCACTGATATAAATTTATTTACACGACGAATGCAATTTGTTCTTGAATAAATTTAAAAATCTCCATTCCTTATTGACATCACCTTTTAATTAGGACATGTGTGGTGGCATTATGACCATTTAATGCTACGATAAAATATGCATAATAGCAGCCCTGCAATTAAAGAAGTAACATTTCATAAGATACGTAAATCGAAAATGAAAATGAAAATCTAATCAAATCAAACATCACTTTATTCAGCTTTATAAATACAGGAATACATTATTAGTGGTAAGAATAGTATTCCCCCGAATGGACTGCAAGTCCGTGCTCGAGGGAAGAGCTCTTACCAACAGGAAATATGTTTTGGTTATTGTCCATAGGTCAAAAACATGTGCACACTGTTTGTAAATAATGTGTACATTTATACTTAAATACGTATCAGGAGCTCTTATAAATATATTTATATTTATGATATATAAATATATTGTATACTAGAATTATTTAACAATAAACAGCCTTAAGCAACAATAAAAATATTAATCTATGAGGAAATACCCCCGCCGCAGCAAACCTGCCGACTAAGCGAATTTCCGTTTGTCTGAATTGATTTTTAATTAAATCCATATAAATAACGTAAGGTTTAATGAGTACCTAGGTTTGCTGCTACAAGAAAACTAATAAGGTGTATTTTTTAGTAAAATATTAATAGTTTAGTTTAAAATAAATAAATTTGCCAAGTTTGATCAAAATATATCTCTAAACAAGCAAACTACAACATTTTACAATATTCTCCATAAGAATAACATGGGAATTTAAAATTTACAATTTTTGAATTTTCTCTGTTACCAATAACCATACAAAAACACTTTGATATACTAAATTATTTGTTTTTTTAAGCTCTTTAAAAAGGTCTAAAGAGATATTGGGACATTTTGTGTCTTGAGGGTCAAAAATGAGAAAACCCATTTTTTACCCCATAAAACCCCCCGTAAAATCCCGTTCCCATGGTCCGATCATGCTGGTTCGTGAACTTATTCAAGTTTATTCTGCCTTCCACCTTTCAATCAAATTTCATCAAAATCGGAGAAAATTACTCAAGTTATCGCGTTCACGGACGTTATATATATATATCTATATATATACATATGTAAAAATTTGAACGAATGGTGTTTTTGGTCTCTAGGGACATCAAAATGAAAAAGTAAATCGGTTGCGGGCCTAGGTCTTACCGTGCCACCTACGGTAATAGCTACTTCCCTATAGGGAAATTCGCTAAAATGTATTTTGATAGCTATTATGGCTATTAGCTATTAGCTATTGAGCTATTAGCTATTAAATATCAATTTTAAAACTATGAAAACCCTAAACAGAGGCCAGCCTTTTTGTTCTTGGAATCCTAAGTTTTCATGTTCTTAAACAACTAAGTTTGAGGTAATAAAAATAATGATATATTGTTATTATCTCATACAAAAAAAAAGCTTTGAACGATATAGTCTTGATATTTAGTGTATTTGTAACCCACCAAAAGTCTGGGGGAACGTAAATTAATTTTAAAATTGGCTGAGTATTATCTATCTATATATTAATAGGCAAGCATGTTTCTTTAAAACCTTTATTCTCAGCTCACACATTGTTAGAAATATATTATCCTGTAGATGTGCAGAATCCCTTTAAAAATTAAAATAGGCTCAAATATAAGCACAAAAAAATGAATTTGAAATTAAAAAAAAATTAACATGGGCTTTATGGGTTGCCATGCTGGTGACGAAATAACAAGGAAATATAAACAGAAAATCAAAACAACTGGAAGAAATTACAATCACATGTTTTATTTACAGCGTGGGGTGACAATAGAGAATACCTTTGACGTACAACTAGACAGTCCATCCCTATGTTAAAGTTGTCACCGGTTTTTATTAAATTTGTCGTAGTTGATGTGGGCCACCGACAGATTGCGCTGATCTAAATGACTAATTTCTCTTGAATACACGATGATTTTTACGAATTCAAACTTATGAAATGACTTATTAAGAGCTATAACAAACTGTTATGACCCTTCAACTTTGTCAGCAACAAAAAAAAAGATAGAAAATATAGTTTTAGACGCGCATACTGTGACTAGTTCAAACAACTACATGTTTTTAATTTTTTTTAAATGGCGACAACAGGACCAATGTCTACTTCAGTATACAATATTCAATGCGAGTACAAAGCATATTTTTGGTCGAATTGTTGACCACTGGACGACCACTAGTTTAATTAAAAACCACCAATTTTCCGTGTATCACCCTGTTATTTTGTGTTATTTATCAAAGCACAATACCTCTTTTGGGGTTTAAAGCATTCACTTCAAAAGATATTCAGGAATGAATTTAACACTGAGTTTCAGAGAACATGTATTGAGATTTTACGCTTTTGTTTCCATTTGGAACAAAAGCATATCTATGAAACAAAAGCATCTTGCTAGCTAATATTCTTAGGAATTGATGGCTTGCTCTTTATATCAAAGGTTTTACCGGTAAGCAGTTTAAGTTATTACTAGTGTACATGTTGCTCGAATTCGAGCAATTGCAAAGTATTAGGCCTAAAGGAGTTATTTCTAAACGAATAACAGTCATATTTAGATTGAGTTTAAAAGAGTTAACTCAAAGATTACCGGTGTGTAACTCATGGAGATACTCAAGATGTACAAAACAAACAGTAATCAACATTCCCTGTAAATATTGTATCATATTTCATAACCTAAGATTGCTTTTTAATGTTTTATACAAACACTTCCTGACTTATAGCAATATAAGGTTGACCACGTTTATCTTCGTTATTGATAAACCTCAAGCATTCCGGTCGGCTTTCTCCTTCTCAAAATGCCTCGCTGTACAGGTAACACAGGTCATTGATAGAGGGCCAATTGAGAACGAAAAGTCGTTTTGTGGTAGTGTTAGGGCACATTGTAACCTAATAGTTGAGATTGTCCAGGGTCAGGTGCTGACTGTGATGAGTTAAGAAGCCAATTACGTGCCACTGTTCTGTAGCTGCGGTCGTTATCACGATTACGCCTCCTGTCTATGTTTCGTTTTCGTCGCGTCGTAGGCATTTAACGAAATAACAACAAATAAACAAATTATAGATACACAAAACAACGATAAATGCACAAATTAAAGTGTTACAATCATGCTAACCCGATCCGTCATAGCGACACAAAACAACGATAAATACACAAATTTAGGATACAATCATACTAACACGATCCGTCTTGGGGGTTATGTTTACACAAACTCAAATGGTAAATAAATGTACTCAATGCGTTTCATGGAATTGAAAAATAAATATACAGCAATTAAATTATACAGCTGATCAAAATGTAAACAATTATGTTCGTCATAAGGATAACATGGGAACTTTCAAAGCCACTGGGGCAGAGCCCAAGGGATTTTTTCAAAAATGTAAGGCCAGTTTGCAAATCTACGCGACACGCTCTTTCCAATGAGACGTCAATGGATAAAATCGGTTAAGAAATGGCGGAGGAGTTCAACCGACAAAGTTTCATGTAGCGTATTAATTATATAGATGTTTTACAATAGTTCTCATGTCATTGGATCCTGTAGACTGATTTGCTTGGATTTATACTGTCCATATATAAAAAAGTATTAATTCCAAAATGCATGAGTATAAAATAGTATTTATTATGAATTGATATTCACCCTGAAAGAATATTTAAGGAACTTTGTTTACGATAGCTTTTCAATCCTCTTGTAAATGTTGTCGACATTTGTTTTGATGAAAATGGACGTAGTTCATGCGAGCCACCGACAGACTGCACTGATATAAATTACTGGTTTCTGTCGAATAAGCAAACTTTTTTGACCAAGTCAAATTCGTTTAGTAATTTATCATCTTTATGCCCCTTTGGCTATCGCAGTAACAAAGATTGAGGTAGGAATATAATTGTAGGCTCACTGAACTGCCCACTCTGACTGGCTCACAGAACTGAGTTATTTTAAATTTAAAAAAAATTTTATAGCGAGTCCATATACAGGATGTCACAAAAAAGTGTGATGGGCTATACAGGACCTAATTTTACATGCAAAAATAAGTCAAAAAATAATAATAACATTTTTTGGATTTCGGCTTAATCTAGGCTTAATCCACCATTTAGATTTTTTTGTTGGAAAATATTTATTATTTTAAAAACCCTTTGAGATATTTTTACGAAACTTGGCAAAATTTTTTACACTAACGTAAGTAACATTAGTATAAAAATATGTTTTATAACTTATTCTTCATTTTTTACTTATTTTTGCATGTAGAATTAGGTCCTGTATAGCCCACCAGACTTTTTGTGACACCCTATGGGATTTCGACTTCAGTGTCCCATAGACAATGATAATTTGTTAATGTTGTCCCACATTCACTTCCTAGGACGCTAGTTCTTGCCCGAAACCGATGTTTGTATTAATTTAGGCTAGTCCTAGAGAGTCGTGGCACTATCACATAGAAAAGTTTCCATTGGTGATTGGCGGGATTTAAACCATGCTCTACCACTAGCTCGCTCCCCGTAAAGACAATGATAGTAGATAACCAGAATTAGAACTTTTTTTTACAAAAACATATAAATTTACCTTATTTAAAAAATTGTATAGACCAACATCTAAAACTGGTGTCCTTACCTCCACGCCATAGGCTACCCACTATAATTTAGACAACTAGTGTTGTAAAATTGGTATAATTTTGTATATTTTTTGTTGTATTATCCAGTATAATTTTTCCCATGCAGCCTAGCAGAGGTGGTAAAAGTCAGTATAGCACTCGCAGTGTTCTTCACCTACGCACTTCAATTCACCGCGTGTTTCGAGGTGGTCTGGAAGGCTGCAGAGCCACACATCAGCAAAGATAGGAAAACAAGTGTCTTCTACATTATAAGGACCGTCTTGATCTTTGGCACTGGTAAGCTTTGGCGGTTAAAATATCGAATAGCATAAATATCTATGGCAAACTATGAAGATTGAAAGAATTGCAAGTACAATTTAACTTGGTTTGAAGTTAATATTTGGTGGGTTTGGGGTTATGGTGTTTGCCCATTATTGCCAACATTTCCCATCACTATTAGTAAGAAAACAAGTTTGACAATATTTGGGATCTGGAATGTGATCCCGTTCTCAGGTGAGAAAGCCAAAGAATACCAGATGATACCAAAGAACCTTGCTAACGTATAACAACAGCTATTTTATTTACATAAACATATATTTCTACAGAAATTATGTATAGTTCTACCTAAAGTTGTATTTCTAACAGAAATGATGTGTAGTTCTACCTAAAATTGTATTTCTAGCAGAAATGATGTGTACTTCTACCTTAAATTGTATTTCTAGCTGAAAGGAAGTGTAGTTCTACCTAAAGCTGTATTTCTAGCAGAAATGGTGTGTAGTTCTACCTAAGCTGTATTTCTAGTAGAAATGATGTGTAGTTCTACCTTAAATTGTATTTCTAGCAGAACAGATGTGTAGTTCTACCTAAAATTGTATTTCTAGCAGAAATGATGTGTACTTCCACCTTAAATTGTATTTCTAGCAGAAAGGAAGTGTAGTTCTACCTAAAGCTGTATTTCTAGCAGAAATGGTGTGTAGTTCTACTTTAAATTGTATTTCTAGCAGAAATGATGTGTAGTTCTACCTAAAGGTTTTTCTAGCAGAAGTGATGTGTAGTTCTACCTAAAGCTGTATTTCTAGCAGAAATGGTGTGTAGTTCTACTTTAAATTGTATTTCTAGCAGAAATAATGAGCAGCTCTACCTAAAGTTGTTTCTAGCAGAAGTGATGTGTAGTTCTATCTAAAGCTGTATTTCTAGCAGAAATGGTGTGTAGTTCTACGTAAAGTTGTATTTCTCGCTCAGTGGTTAGTGGTCAGTCTAGACATTCGAGCCATTGACGTCAATTGTTAATGTTTATAATTAATACCGCTTCTGTTCTAATATTTGTGGGTAAATAAATTCTTAGAAGAAGCCACCGTGGGTGGCTTCTTCTAAAAGTCTGTTGCCTATATTTATCTTATTTTTACAGCCTTTCGGTATTTGTTTCAATGTTACAGTTGTGCTGGGTATCCTAGTACCTCAGCTAGCCCCTGTCATCTCTCTGGTTGGCTCTATCGGCTTCTCCGTGCTGGGTCTGTTGCTACCAGCTGTTGCAGAGACTCTGGTGTTTTGGCGGGAAGGTTTGGGCTGTTGGCGCTGGAGGTTGTGGAAGAACCTCGTCCTCGTCGTCATCGCTTTTGTCGCTCTTTTCTCCGGCTCCAGTGTAGCCATTCGTGATATCTCAAGTAACTATGAATAAGACATTTAACAGTAAACAGCTTGTTTTAATATTTCCCAATATTCTATATTTTACTATTGACTATAAATTTTACAATACTTTATATAACTTGTATCTATATAATCATAGATTTCTCTAATACAAGGCCACGAAGTTTGTCTGTAGCAGAGTCGCAACGGCTGGCTTGTTGCCATGGTGATAACAGTAATAACAAACTTGTAAACATAAGCATCGCAGGCTATCCTACTATTATTATTAGTGGGAAAGTTTGGAAGTATAAATCGATGGATTGAAGGATGGATGTTTGTGACAAGTACATAAACGCAAAAAAAAAAAAACTGGCCAGATTGGGCTGAAATTTGGCGTGATGATAGCTTACATTCCCAGTTAAGATATAGACGCATTCTCATCACAAAAATCCTTTTGGACTCCACCCCAGTGGCTCTGGAGTTTACTATTTTAACCTTAATTAAGAGTATTCATTTTTAAAAGGAATAAAATAATTTTGTCCGCTGTTTCAACTACACAAGTTGATTCTATGATATTAAATAGGCATTCATTCACATCAAAGGAGATGGTGCGAGTTTATTTACTTCACTCTCATTCATAATTCACCTTACACACATACACACACTAACTTTGCGCGAAGCAATTGTTAAACATGCTGTGAGGAACTGTGACTATCTACTTCTCAATCTTATCCCACGACAGTGACGGGAATAATTACAAAGATTACAAAGATATACGGTTTACCAACAGGGTGCAGCACTATTAATCATGGGAATTCAACTTTTATTATTGTTTAGGTGCAGTGGTAGAACATTATAGCTATGGTAGATGTGCCATACAATAGCATACCGTAAATTAAAAGAACCCAATTTTCTTAAACCGTGTCTTCTCCCATTGCAAATGCAAAGCACGAATATAACTGCAATAAGCATTTTATACTTATACGCCAACCCCGTACGAAGGACGAGTACTCTGATAGTCCAATATAAATTAGTGCAATAGCTATTTTGGTAGGCCGGGTCTGCGGCGTTGCCACTTTTGTTTCACCGTGTCCTTGTATTAGAGGAGGCCGTTATACAGTATAAAAAATGCAAAAGTAACTCTCTCAATAAAAATCATTATCTAGCATTTGAAAATTAATGAAGACTTGCAGTGGTTGTTGACATTAATGCGTTATATGCATATATAAAATTAAGGGGTGAATTAAATCATTGATGTGACACTTAAATATTTTTTTTAATTTTTAAGTAAACAATTTTAAAATAACAACACGGTCTATTCAAAATGCTTAAAATTACAAAAGAAGTAAAAAGCCAAGATTAAGACTATACGATGAAAGGACGTAATTTTGTTTTGGTTGGTACCATCGCACTGATTAATAGAGCTTGGTGAAAATTTGAAAATTCTGGGAACATATTGTAATTAATGTTATAGTCTTTAAATTACATATGAAATAAGTTATTGGCACTGTTTATACCATTGAGCCCCCGATGAGATTGTGATGTTTATGTAGTGAAGGGTTAGGAAACTTTAATTCCAAATGTTTAACCTATTCAAGAGTAGGAAATGTAAAAAACGGTATTATTCTATATTGTATGCACTGCTTATTTGAATTTTTATGTTTGGTATTTATTTGCTAAGTATCAACTTTGCCTCCACTAATAAAAGATTATTTTATATTTCTCATTGCTGATATTTCAATATTTGAATACTATCATACTTTAACTTTAACAGCTGTTTAATTAGCTGATAGAATAAAAATTAAGATTACTAAGGTTATTTTGGACCATTTAAATATTATAGTTGTGTGTCAGTGAAATTAACCTATTGTGGCATTTTAGTTTCATCCTTACTAAACATTACTACCTAAACGAAGCAACAAAATGACTGCATATCGTATTCTTATGACTGCATATTATTTGTTAATTGACTGCATATAATCCGCATTTGTGTGATTAGTGTTGAAGAAAGTAGAATTGTAGCCTACTTGGTTTTTGGATTTAATTTTTTAAAACTTATTATATACTTCTGTTAATATTTTTGTAGTTGTTTAAACCGTTTCATAGTATGAGGTTTTAAACGTTGATGGCGACTTCTTTTCACACAATATCATTCACATCAAAGGAGATGGTGCGAGTTTATTTACTTCACTCTCATTCATAATTCACCTTACACACATACACACACTAACTTTGCGCGAAGCAATTATTAAACATGCTGTGAGGAACTGTGACTATCTACTTCTCAATCTTATCCCACGACAGTGACGGGAATAATTACCTTAAATCCAGGGAATACTGCTATGAAATGTCGAAGCCGTTTAACTTTGGTGGGTTGTGTGAGCTGGTTGCGGCTTCACAACTATACACATTTTGTCGAGGTTTATCGGTATGGTGAATTAAATGTCATGTTTGGTAGTGCAGCTTCTATACCTTTACAGACCCTACCTGAACCTTTATGCACTTTGATCCAAATCGGATCAACTTTCCTTTAGTTATCACGCTAACGGACATTGGCCTATGTATGAACTAGCGGAATGCCCGTGCTTTGCTACGAAAATTTTCAGATTGGTTGAAATTTTTAATGAATTATTGTTTAAGAGTCAACACCCTTTAGTCAACAATTCAGCTAAAACCTGTTTTACGACCTGAGTTTGGTCATGGGCATTGGGCAATCCTGAGTATACACACTTTATGGACCGGTGAGATATTATAAACGCGGCTTTCGGCTAATGGCATCGTTTGGAGCAAACCAGGTTGTTGCTGAATTTTTGACTGAAGGGTGTTGAGACTTAAACACTAATTCATAAAAAAATTCCACCAATTTAAAAATTTCCGTAACGAAGACGAGAATTCAGCAAGTTCATACAGTATCAAGCGAAAGTAGATCAGAGGTGGATGAAATTTGGCATAAACATGTAAACCTACGTTTATTTAAACGAGAGTTTATGAACCAGCATGATCGGACTATGGGAAAGGGGGTTTATGGGGCGTTTTATGGTGAAAAAATTGGGGTTTCCCCTTTTCGACTCTAAAAAACTAAATTTTGCATATTCTTTTTATACCTTTTTGTAGATAATTAAAAAAATAGTATGAAGCATTGTTGTATGACTGACGGTTGCAGAAAAAATTCTATAAAAGCGTAAATGAAAATTCTTGCGTTATTCTTATAAAGAAAAATAAAACAGTTTTAGTGTATTTTTCTAATATATACTTGTGGATATATTTTAATCGAATTTGACAATTTAATTATTTTATACTAAGCTATCAACATTTCAATAAAAATCACAAATTTTTACCTTACCTATAGCAGCAAACCTAAGTACTTATGAAGATTAATGCTTTTTTAATTTTGATACTTTGCAATGAAATTACGACCATACAAAGTAGGTATTTTAAGCCAAGTATGAATGGAGATGAGTGTAGGATGAATGTAATTAGGAAATAAATGTAAGATTTTCAAAGGAATATTTTAGTGAGAATCCAGCCAGGTTAATGGGAACTTGCTTAGTCTGCAGGCTTGCTGTAGGGGGGGGGGCATTATTGAGCGGAGCGAAGCAAAGCAATTGAAGCTTTTATACTACACTCCTACTTTTGTTTTACAAATACCCCTGCTGAACGGCTAAAGTGATCTGCACGGAATTTTGCACAGTTATAGTAACCAACCATGGGAAGGTATACATCTGAAATTGTACAACTTGGACCACAGGGCTTTTCCCTACGTGAATTTAAACTTTAAGAAATTTAACATGGGCATTATGGGTTAATTGGTCGCGATGACATTATTTGCAAGATAAATATAAAAAAGGTAAACATGAGTAGCAACAATGAATAACTAATAAATAGGGTCGCGGGAATTAGGCTGATGCACTCCCAAATATAGACCCTACCATTGAGTTTTGATACTGCAAGTAGACTTTCCATTTACGTGAACTAGATGTACCATTGACTTTGGATACTGCAAATAGGCACTCCATTTATGCGAATAAAATTAACCATTGACTTAGGATACTGCAAGTAAACAATTCATTTAAGCGAACCAAGGCCCCACTAAAAAAAAATTTCTAGTTGAGCTTTGCGTGAACTATCATTGACTTTGAATACTGCAAATAGAAATGCCAATTAAGTGAACCAGATGTAAGCCTACCATTGACTTTGGATACTGCAAATAGGCATCTTATGGGAACCAAATGGATAATTGACTTTGGGTACTGCAAGTAGATTTCTCATTTATGTGAAGCAGGTGTACCATTGATTTAGGATACTGCAAGAAGACAATTCATGAACGTAAATAAATTTTTTAATGTAGTTTGCATACTGCAAGTAAACAATTCGTTTACGTGAACCAGATATTGGCTAAGAAATTGTAAGTATACAATCCCTTTAAGTGAACCAGGCCTACCATTGGCTTTAGATACTGCAAATAGGCTTTATATTTAGGCAAACCAAATATTTCATTGACATTGGATTCTGCAAATAGACATTAAATTTATTAGAACCAGAGGAAACAGACTTTGGTTCCTGCAAGTAGACAATTCATTTACGTAAACCAAACTTATAATTTACTTTGGATACTGCAAATAGACATTCCATTTATGTGAACCAAACATACCATTGCCATGGGTTACTGCAAGTTTATATATCTCATTTACGAGAAACAGATATAGCATTGACTTTAGGAAAGTATCGGATTAATATGCTAGCTCCACTCAATATTGCAAGACAAGTAATGGAGTTTTTGTTCAGAAGTTTAGTAGAGCAAACACAGCAAAGTAAACACATGACAAGGAAACACATACCTAATGGGTACCATCAAAGCTCCGTACGTTTGAATACCCTACATTTAGCCTAATTACTAAGCTATAGTAAACATTGCTCTCTCTGAATATTATATTACTTCCCTGTGGTTTAGACAACGAAACTATTACACACAACATAACATAAATGCAGTATTAATATCCTTTCTACAACAATCATAGTTTCTCAGAATCAGGATGCAAACTCATCTCTGTGTAGTGTCACATTGTTA